GGTTTGCCTACAAGGACTGTTCAGGCCTGCTCAGCTCACCCCAACGACCCCTCCATTCAAAACACACACACACACACACACACACACACACACACACACGGTTCTTCAGGGTGGAATGGCAGACACCCCCGAGGGCCCTGCAGGGTTCAGCCAGCCCCGCAGGCCAGGCCTCATGGGGAAGATGCGACAGTCCATCAGTGCTTTCACGCCACGCACATCCTCACGCGCCCTCGTGCACACGCACACCCCGGTTCTGCCCCTTGGAGCGGCCCAGCTGACAGGCCACATCCACGAAACGGGGCGATGCTACGAAGCTATCGACCGTAGACGTTTGGGGCAAAGATTAAAAAAAGGTAGGAAAAGCACTGAGCCCTTAATGGCAGGCACTCAGTTAAGAGTAGCTCTAATTACGACAGCTAACTTTCCTCTGGCACGTTCACCCGTTCGTTACGACATGCATATGCAAGTGACAGAATGAGGACAGCAAAAACAGGTACGTTACCTGCTCTGCACAGGACCTCGAGATTTGGAAGTGAACTGACTCGCCCGAGATTACGGGCTAAATCAGTGGCCAAGCTGAGACTCAGTCCTGGGGCTCTGCTTGACCTCCAGCTGTATCTGGCCTGCCAAACAGCATGGGGCACAGAGACAGGACCCAAGCCAAAAACGAGGCCTTGCCCATCAGAACTTACAGCGGGTTAGCCTCCCTGGGTCCAGGTTCTCTGTCATCAGCAAGTCACAACTGGCACCAGGCGGAGGAACACGGGGTCCTCAGGTGCTCCCACCCAGAGGCCATTCATGTCTGTTCACTGGGGAGCCCACAAGGGAAACACCCTTGACAGCCTCTCTGTCACTCTTGGGTCCCAGAAGGGACCCCGCTGAGGTCCCAGCTGAAGCCCGAGAAGAAACGAGATCCACACGTCACAGACCAGGAACACTGATCACAGGGGAGACCCCCCTCAGAGCTGAAACCTCCTGTCTCAGACATCATTCCACCACGTCTGATTCGTTTCTCAGGATGGAGAAAAGTGAGCCCTGGCTGGTGTGGCTCAGTGGACTGAGCGCCAGCCTGTGAACCAAAAGGTTGTCAGTTCAATTCCCAGTCAGGGCACATGCCTGAGCGGCGGGGCCAGGTCCCCAGTGAGGGGCGTGCAAGAGGCAACTGATCAGTATTTCTCTTGCACATCGATGTCTCTCTTCCTCTCTTTCTCCTCCTTTCCCCTTTCTCTAAATTAAATAAATGAATAAACTCTTTAAAAAAAAGAGTGGAAAAAACTGCCGTTTAAAACCAAACCGAAAAGCGGCTAACTACACTCAGGCACACCCATGTCACGTTTGGCTGCTACCAGACAGGGATGGACGAAGGAAAGGAAAAAAAAAAAAAAACCTAAACAAATCAGAATTCAGAATGGAGCACCCTGGGGGCACTGGGCACAGGGGCAAAGTACACCGGGGAGCTCAATAAACCCAGAGGCATATGGTCGCCGAACACGCTGACAACGGTGAGGACGCTGGCATCCGGAGTCGGTTACGGTGAGTGTTCCTCTGTCCGTACAGGAAGGGCAATAAATATTTCAGAGAGCCCTGCCCTAAGAGGGTGATGTGGGTTCTTAGCTCCCTGAAAAACTCTGTGTGCTTCATTCCCAAGGGCTTCCAGCATCCCTAATTCTGCTGCAACAGAAAAGATTCCTCTATAAAATACTCCACAGCCCAAGCTTCTCACTAATTCTTTCCAGGCCACTCTCCTTTCCCATCCCTTCCCCTCCCCACCAATCTGGGTTAATGAGGTTTTATTGGAACCCACCATGAGCCACAGGTAGAGACTTAAACCAGCTCCACCCTCCCCGTGGAGCTGAAGCCAGGAGTGACATCAGCTCTGGAAGGCGCTGAGTCCCGGCGGAGCAGTGCGCGCCGCCCCCGCCCCCCACCCACTTGGCCAGGCGGTGGGGAAATGTCTCTACTAGCCCCCATAATTAAGGCAAAAAGGAATTTTATGCCTTTCAAGAAAGAGAAGAGAGAGAAACAGCAAATAACTATTTCAGAACAAGCTATTTTCCTTGCGTGGCAAAAACAAAAGACCACAGAAAACACACACACACACACACAGACCTTTTTAGACAAACCTGTTCTTTTCCCTCGGGAGTGGTCTTTTGAGCAGCCTGCCGCCCTAGCAGCCTTCCCTTGCCCGTTCGAGGTCAGGTGCCCAGGGACCACACCGCACCTCACCACTCCCCAGCGGAGCTCTGACCTGCTTCCCCCGGGACCAAGGTGAACCCTCAGAGACACAGATCTGTGTGACCCGAGGACATCGCCCGTGGGGAGCTCTGTGAAGGCATTTTATGGCACTTTGTATCTCCACTTTAAAATCAAATCTGGAGAGGGAGAGGGCAGGGCTGGGAAAGAGAAAAGAAACTAAACTTTATTTAAAAAAAAAAAAAGAAGAAGAAAGAACACCTGAGCTCCAAGCCAGAGCCTACCCCAAAGCTTAGTACTTTAAGGCTCAGCTCAACCCCCAGGAAGCCCTCCCACCACCTCAGCTCTAAGGAGCCCCCCTCCCTCCTTCCTTACCCCTTGAGACTCAGTAGGCTCCTGGGCCTTGTCTCCATCATGTGTCAAAGTTTCTAGGCGAGAGGAAAAACGTCCCATGCTGGGGCATCTGCCCCTGCCCAACACAAAAGAACACTGAGAAATGTGGTCCACAGAGAATCGAAAATCCCATCTGCCCGCCCCTGCCCACAGCTCACAGGGGTCCGGGCTCACAGGCCCGCCAGCCTCACCCAAGCCAGTCAAAGCAGCCACTGCTTCTGCCCTGGCAGGGCGGCTCCGCTGGTCGGAGTGTAGTCCCGTACACCAGAAAGCTTTGGGGTGACCCCTGGTTGGGGCATGTGTGGAAGGTAGCCAATTGATGTTTCTCTCTCATATTGATGTTTCTCTCTCCCTCTCTCTCTAAAACTCAATTAAACATATCCTCAGGTAAGGTTGTAAATTTTTTTTAATTAAAAAAAAAAGAAACCACCACTCCTCCCGATTCTGGTGAAAACAGGCTGATGAAAAACAGGTGGAGAACCCCACCTCAGCATCCCCGCCGAGGCCCCATCTTGGGCCTGGAGAGAGGGGAGCAGCCAGGTGAGGCCAGGTGGGCGAGGGAAGGGAGCCAAGCACCTCCACTCTCTTCTCCAGGATATTAAACTATGATTCAAGGCCCAAGCTGAGTCCCACAGAAGCCACAGCCCCAAAGAGCAAAGGAGAATACAGACGCCAAATTCTTCCATCTGAAATCCAGAACTGCACTCAAGACCCTGCTCAGAAACCCTATCTGTCCTCATGGCTCCCCAAATAGGACACCCCACATGCAGTCCAACCCATCAGCAATGGCAGAGGCATCAGGACCCTCTCCTGGACTTCCAAATGCTTCCAAGCACAACAGTCACCTGAGAAGCGCGCTGGGGGCGGGGGGGGGGGGCTGTGGGGGTGTCCGGGAGCGTCACAAATCCTCCTGGAAAATACCTTACCTGGGCTAGACCCTTGAAAATACCCACAGCTCCCAATAACTGGGGGTTACTATTATTCTGGAGGGACGAGCTAACACAAGTCGGCGTGGCTGAGACACTAGTCCAGATTCCACATTCCGAACGGAGGACCCACCCCCGGCCGGCGCTCCTTCCCTGCCCACGTGCCTCCCTATGCCCGAGCCCGGGAAGTCGAGCCGTCCAGATGTGGCCACTTCCGGAAGGGGAAGAGCCCCTCTCCATCCCAGGGGATGGCCGATCCGCACGGCGGAGAGACCTCGGGACTCCAGCACCGGGTGTCGGGGCCGGGGGGTGGCCGTGGGCAGCCGGTAGCCGGCGCTGACACCTGGCGGCGGCCCGGGTCCCAGCCCACGACAGGGCCAGCGCTGCGGGGCGGTTCCCAGGAATGGGTTACAGGGGCCGAGAACAAAGCGCCCCCATTGGGGAAGGCGGGCTAGCGGCCCGGCGGCCAGGGCGGGACTTCACTTTCTGGGGACCCTCGGGATACTCTTTGTCGGCCAGGTCCCTCTTTAGAGGGGACAAACCCCTCGTCAATGGTGGATGCCGGAGTCCTACCTAAAAGCCTCCTTCGGTCTCGATCTCCACGTTTGTCCCTCTCTCCCCCAGTTCCACTGGGCGGGCCGAGGAACCCGCCCTCCCAACGCGCGGCTCCAGCACAAAGCCGGGCCGGGGGAGGGGAAGAGCCAGTCCGGGTCCACTCGCGTGGAAGCCGCGCGCCCACCCGGCCGTCCCAGCGCGGGCACGCGCCTCTTCGAGGGCAGCACAACTTCAGCCCAGAAGTTGGGTTCCTGCGGCTCCCCAGTGCTCTGGGGCCAACTTCCCGGAACCTCCCGCTGCCAGCTCGGCCCAGCTCCCTTCAGACAGCCGACGGAGAGCCCGAGGGCCCCACCTCCGCCCGCCGACCCGCGTCCCCGCGCTGGCCCGGCCCGGCCCGGCTCCTTGGCAAATGCGCCCGCCTGCTCCCGCGCGGGCTCCGCTGCGCCCAAACTTGCCTCCGCCAAAGCGGCCGGGCGCCCGGTCTCGGCGGGTCTGGTTTGAATTAGGGTCTGCGAGAGGGGCGTTGTGGCTGTGGTCACCACATCCTCCCGGGTCACCGGTGGGGGGGGGGCCGGCCACCGCAATGCCTGGGTTGACGGAGTGCGAGCCGGCGACCCCAGGTGCCGCCGCAGGCTGGCGGGCTAGGACGCCTGTGGAGCCGTTTTACATAATTGAACGCTGGGCCCTGGCGCAGGCTCCATTCTGCGGGCGCCCCAGTCCCCAGCCCGGAGCGGCGGGACCCACCCGGCGCCCATAGACGGCGGAGGCAACTGGGGCTAGATCCCGGGTTTCGGGGTTCACCTTCGCGGCGCTAGCGCGGGAAGAAGGTTAAGTCTGAGGTTCCCCTCCCCCTCCACGTGCTGCCGTCTGCATCTGCGGGTCTGCAAGCCCGGGCTTCCCGCCGCCTCCCAGCCCGGCCCCGGCCGCACTCACCGGGAGGACCGGCTGCAGGCGCAGCGCCAGAGCGCAGAGCCAGAAGCAGAGCGCCGCGCGCCTCATGCTGTCCGGACCGGCGGCGGGGCGCGGCGGGCTGCGCGGGTCGGGTCTGCGCGGACTGCTCGGGGCTCGGGGCCGGCACCTCCGGGTGCGCTGCGCTCGACTCCCTTGGACGATGCCCCGCGTGCGGCTGTCCTGGGATAGGGCTGTGGGGTCCGCCGGCCGTAGTCCGCTCTCTACTGCTGGATTCCTTCCGACTCAGCTCCGCTCCCGCCCGCACCTCTCCCGCCGAGCTCCGCCTTATAATAAACCCACAGGCCCTTAGCCGTTGCAAAAACTAGCCCCCAACCCCCAGCTCGCCAGGTCTCCGGGCCAGCCCCAGTCCCCACCCCCCAGGACCCCGCCCCCTGAGCCACCCAGCCCTGCCTCTCCGATCGCCCCACCCCGAGCCCGGGCCCCGCCCCCTCCCGCACCTCCCCGTTAGAGTCTCGCTGGTCTCCTGAGCCACGAGCCCTGCGGGTAGGGGTTCCCGGCGTTTCGGCTCCGCCGCTCCGGAGCAGTGGGGACCCGGGTGCACCCGCTTCCGCCCTGGCCCAGGGCATTGAGGAGCTGTCCGGGAGAGGGGCTGGAGGGGAGGTAGTTGATCCTGGACTGTGGCCGCCAGTCTGCAGCGCCCTCTGGGCGTGAACCCGGAGCTTCCTCCAGGTGCGTTGGACCTGCAGGTTCCCAGCGGGAGGATTTTGGGCGGCTGTGCGGCACCCTGAAGTAACTGGACATTCATTAAACGGATGGATGCCACCCCTGCCTGTCCTCCGACTGCTGATGGGGCTCCTACGCCCGTCCTCCCCCAGCACGGGTTCCCCGGTGCACTGATGTCCTGCCGGCACTTCACGACGTGCTGGAAACTCCGGGCCTTACTTGAACCATCTGATCGTGCTCAGGAGGGTTGTTTGTTTGTTTGTTTGTTCGTTCGTTTGTTTGTTTTAATGAATTTTCAGCATCTTTCAATGGAAGACAATCCTTCTCTCTTCATCCTTTGAGCTAAAAGTTAAACGGCTGCGTTTCCAGATGGTCTCCCCTGGCCTGCAGATCCGAGAAAGCGCTCCTTGGAGTTTCCTCCTCCTTCATGATTCCTTGAGCGGCCCTGGGCCACGTTTCCCTCAACAGGCAGGCTATGGAGGGCCTATGGGCGGCCTATGGGAGTAGTGCAAACGGCCTTGAGAGAAGGGGAAGAACTGCCTGGCCGTGCCTGCAGCCTCACAGGCAGAAGACATGGTGCCAAATGACCTACGGACCTGGACACCAAAGATGGTGCCGTCCCCACCCCACCTCCCCAGGCAGAGGAGAGGCCGTCCTCTGGTGGCCTCTCGGACTGTCTCCAGTGTTTCACTTTAAACGGGTTAAACATTCCTGGGGCTTGGGCTAGGCAGACGGGACACTTGGCCTGGGCCCCACCCATCCAGCAGCCTCCTGCATCCCCATGTCAGCACCCTGCTCCAGAATAATACCTGTTTGACCTTGGGCAGCTCTCCCTTTCTGAGTCTCAGTTCCCCCTCTGTGTCCGTGATGGACAGTAGATCCTCACCAAGGTTCATAGGGCCTGAGGGGAGGAACACCAGCGTTGCGGCAGGCAGGGCCCCTCTGGAGCTCAGGGCGTCCTGCTGGGTTATATGGCTCCGTCCACAGAAAGCCATGGCTGTGTCTCCGAGGGCAGGCTGCACTGTCTGAAGTCAGCCCTCTGGTCTTTTTAACCCAATATGGAGGGAAAGTAGGTCAGTTTGGAATCGTCTTTCTCTACTGCACAACATAAAGGAAAACTGGAGTCAGGGAGGGTTTGGTGGAGTGTTTTCATGCCATAAAAGATGACCAGGTTAGTGTTTCTTTCCAACAGAATACCGTATATGTGCCCCAGATCAGTGTGTGTTTCTTCAGGCAGATCAGGAAGAGGCGGGGCCCCAAGGGTGACACTGTCTGGAGAAGGGAAGTAGAGGGTCAGGCCTTGCCTCGACCCAGCTGGCCCCTGGGCTGCTTCCTTCTCCTCCCAAGCCAAATTCTGCAAGAAAATCTGTTCCTGCTGGAAGCAGCTTTCTCAGGGGCCCACCCCTCGGATCTCTAGAGCCCTCGGGCATGCCATGGTGACACAGCCCATACGCACTGGCAGGACCAGCCCTGTCTGCACCCCTTCCTGGGACCCCCCCCGCCCCGGACCTTGTAAATCTAACTAAAGGGTTAGTGTCTGGCTGAGCAGGCGGCTTCCAGTCTCCCATCAGGACACTAAGGCAGGTCCCCTGTCCTGATTTGTATTCCTAACCCAGGTAATTAAATATCTTCAGTGTTATCCCCGGTGAATTATTAACTGCCTTGAATGTTGCTTCCTTTTCCTGGAAGGAAAGAGGAAGGCGGGGCCAGCGCCACCTCATTTCTCTCATTCTTCCCATGGATCCGCAGGGCTTCGTTCTGGGAGAAAGTCCTGGGGTCACCACTGGGGTGGCGCCTGGGGGAAGCGGGGAGGAAGAGGCCAGCAGCTGTGTCCTGTGGGTGGGGGGTTGGGGGGCGTGCCTGGGTGCAGGCTGCCCCTTTGATGCATTAGGCACCTAAACCTCATAGACATGCTCTGGACGAGTTGCCACCTATCAAAACTTAAAGTGCACTTACCCTGTAACTCAGGGATTCTGCCTCGGTAATCTTCCTGCTCCGGTAAAAAGAAGTATTTTCACCAGTGTCCGAAGAGACGTGTTTAAACGTCCCTCCGTAAAGAAGAGATGAAGTCGGCATGAGTATCCCCACACTGTGGAATGCTATATGGTTGTTTAAAGGAAGGACATGTTTAAGTTCTGACATGAAATGTTTTTCAAACCCCATTTTTAGGTAAAAAGGAGCAAGTTAAAGAGTGATCTATATAGAGGATGGCCAACATTTTCTTTAAAACATGTGTGATGTGCATAGACTGACCATAGGTATGTTCTAAAAAAAAGGTCTAGAGGAGAAAAATGGGATGGGGACAGTGAGGGACAATGTGTAAGTTTACTATGTATTCTTAAGTGTTTGTATTGAGAATATATAACTTGTGCAATGTTTTTAATGGAAAGTTCCTTTCTGCACCTGAAGACGCTTTCAACCTCCAGTAACAGCTTCCCTTTAAACGGCTTGAAATATAGGATAGTTAGTGCACGTACTGCATTACCCACAGCACAAGCAAAACCTCCGCAGCACTGGAACCGAAGACCCGGGTCCCACCCGCAGCTCTGCCATCCCCGTGTCACCTTCCTTAGGACGGTGGCCAGGTGGCACTGTTCTCAGCCACCACAGCTAACAGAGCGATGTCCAGAAACAAGGCCACCTTCTCTTAAGTGTCTTTCTTAGGAGTAAGGAAACAGTTCCCAAAGACCCCCTCACACACACACACACACACACACACACACACACACACACTCACACACGCACCCACTTCTTTTCCCATCTCGCTGGTCCCAAGTGGGTGCCGTGTCTTCATGAAGTCATCCCCTGTCAGTGACCTTGAGTACCCGTGTGGATGTAGTAGATTAACCTTCTAGGAGCTTGGATGTGGAGGAGCCAAGGTCATGTCCACTGAATATTTTGACTTCTTAAAAAGTGTAACATTCATGTAAGGACATTCTGTTCAAGATCATCCAAAACACACCTTTTTTTTCATCCAACTTCTTCCCATCCTAAAGCATTTTAAAAGGCAGTTAATGGTTTAACTGGGAACCACCACTTCACACATACAATAAAGAATAATGTTCCTCAAAAACATGAAAAGTGGAATTGTCATATAAGCCAGCAATTGCACTTCTGGGTATATACCCAAGAGCAAGAGAAACAGGGACTTGAACAGATGTGTGCACACCGCGTCCGCAGCAGCACTGCGCACAGCAGCCGGGACGTGCAAACACTCCCAGTGCCCGCTGACGGACGAGCGGATGAACGCGGCGCGGTGCGCACCGCGACGGGACGTCACCGAGTCGGGAGGGCAGGAAATCCTGTCCCACGCTGCAGCCCCAAGGGACCTTAGGGACTTGAAGCTAAGCGAAAATACGCCAAGTACAAAAGGACAAATACCACCTGATTCCACTGATAAGAGATTTTTAGAGTGGTCAGACTCGGAGGCAGAAAATGGGAAGGCGGTTGCTCGGGACTGGCAGGAGAGGGGACGGAGGCATCCCTGCTTAGTGGATGTGGAGTTTGACGTCTGGGTGTGGTGGTGGCAGCTATGGCACCACTGTGTGAACGTACTTAATGTTACTGAACTGTGTGCGTAAACGGTTAAAACGGTACATTCTACGGTATGTACACTTTTTAAAAATGAAAAAAAAACCCTTAATTGCTAAAAACATGAAATCATGAACAACTGTGCAACTACTACCCAGTTTATCAAATCTAAACATGATGTCTCTTAATTTTTTAATTTTTTAATTTCATTTATTTATTTTTTAGAGAGATGGGAAAGGAGGGAGAAAGAGAGGGAGAGAAACATCAATGTGTGGTTGCCTCTCATGTGCCTGATTCTGGGAACCTGGCCGTCAGCCCAGGCATGTGCCCAGACTGGGAATTGAACCGATGACCCTTTGGTTTGTAGGCCAGCAGCACTCAGTCCACTGAGCCACACCAGCCAGGACTAAATTGTTGTTGCTGTTTTGTTTTTTTTTTTTTAATGAAATGAATCATTACAGATTCAATTGAGTCTCTCAATTTATGTTTTGAGATGTGTCCATGCTACTCCCGTGGCTCTGGCCATCTATCTTAATTGCTATATTATAACTGGTTACATGCATATTCTTGTTACATGCATATTCTGTGATGTGTTAATCCCCGGACACTTGGCTGGTCCCAGTTTTTCAGTATTACACGCAATGCTGAAGCCAGTCCTGTGCCTTTCAGCGTGAGAGCCTGTGAGACTTCTCCAGAAGTGGCGGAGCTCCTGGGTTTTGGGTACAAGTACCTTCATCTCTTAGGCATTGCTCCAAGCAAGTTCTCTAAACACATCACTCTCCAAAGGGCTTATAGCAATTTACGCCCCCAGCAAAAGCAGCGAGAGTTCCCATTTTCCTACCCCCTCTGTACGACTTGGCACTTATCGGGCCTTTCATATTTTGCCAGCCTGACACAGGTAAAGTGACATCTCATTGCCACTTGATTTTGAATGGCCGTCCCTTTACAAAAACATGGTGTTGAGGTCTTTTGTTGCTGACTGCTTGGGCAGGCACTACTGGTTTGCTTCCCACACCTGCTTTCCTCCTCCTTTTCAATAAAAGAACTCCTAAATTTCAGCTGGGCTTGTGGCCACTTGAAATAAGGACTACTTTTCCAAGCATCTCTTCTGGCCACGT